GGGGCGCCGGATTCTGTCCCGGTTGCCCCTCTTCCAGGCCAGCCCTCTGCTGTGGCCAGGGAGTGCAGTGGAGGATGGCCCAGGTGCTTGGGCCCTGCACCCCATGGGAGACCAGGAAAAGCACCTGGCTCCTGGCTCCTGCCATCGGATCAGCGCGGTGCGCCGGCCGCAGCGCGCCGGCCGCAGCGCGCCAGCCGCGGCGGCCATTGGAGGGTGAACCAACGGCAAAGGAAGACCTTTCTCTCTGTCTCTCTCTCTCACTGTCCACTCTGCCTGTCAAAAAAATAAAAATAAAAAAATAAAAAAAAAAAAAGAGGTGATTGATATAGGTAACAGAAGTTGCTCATTAATTTCTTCTTGCTTGAGATACTGTCGACAGGTATCTTCATCTTTTTATTTTTCTAAAGAAAGGCAGAGTGACAGAGAGAGAGAGAGAATGAGAGAAAGAGAAAATCTTCCATCTACTCCTTTACTCTTTAAAATGGCCGCAGTAACCAGGATGGGCCATGCCGAAGTCAGGAGCTAGGAGCTATTTTCTGCTGTCTTCCCAAGCAGATTAGTGGAAAGCTGGATTGGAAGCGGACAAGCCAGGATTCTAACTGGCACTCCAATTAGGAATGCCAGTGTTAAGTGGCAACTTATCCTGCTGCACCAACACAATGCCAGCCCCAGATATTATTAGGGTTCCTTCCTTCCTCCCTTCCTCCCTTCCTCCCTTCCTCCCTTTCTCTCTTTCTCTTTCTCTCTCTCTCTTTCTCTCTCTCTTTCTTTCTTTCTTTCTTTCTTTCTTTCTTTCTTTCTTTCTTTCTTTCTCTCTCTCTCTCTCTCTCTCTTTCTCTCTCTCTATCTCTCTTTCTCTTTCTCTCTCTTTCTGTCTTTCTCTCTCTTTCTCTCTTTCTCTCTCTCCCTCCCTCCCTCCCTTCCTTCCTTCCTTTCTCTCTTTCTCTCCCTCCCTCCCTCCCTCCCTCCCTCTCTTTCTTTCTTTCTCTCTTTCTTTCTTTCTTTCTTGAGAGAGAGAGAGAGAGAGAGACAGAAAGATCTCCTGTCTGCTGGTTTACTCCTTAAGTGACTGTAACAGCCTGTGCTGAGCTGGGCCAGGATGACTCCAGGAACCCATCAGGGCAGGAACTTAAGTATTTGAGCCATCATTTGTTGCTTCCAGGCACATTAACAGGGGACTGGATTGGAAGCAGAGTAGCTAGGACTCAAACTGGCACTCCCATATGGCATGTGGAAGTTCCAAGCAGTGGTTTAATCCACTGAGCCACAACACTGGCCCCTTACAAGGATTTCTTATAGGAGCTTTCCTGGTATATCTAAATGCTCAATTACAGATCACATTGATTACACTACTTACCATATGTAAAGGAGAATTGAAAGTTTTCAGCACTACCAATTGAATGTCAGTGAGAAATCAAGATTCAGCATCTCTGAAATGATAATTTAGGTTAAATGGAAGTATTTTCAAATTTATGAAAATTGAAATTCATAATCTACTTTGAGTGGTCCTCCATATTCAGTCTTGTCAAGGGTTGTCTGTACACTCAGTGAGTTAAAGTAAAATTGCTTGTACCTTCTCAATTGAGTGGCCAACATGAATATATTTGTCTGTTTCCTTTTCCCCATCTTTTTTAAAGAAAGAGCTCTAGAGAGGTATAATTGACATGGAACAAGCTATATATATTAAAATGCATAATTTAAGGTTTTTTTTTTAAGATTTATTTATTTGAGAGGCAGAGTTACAGAGGGATGGGGGAAGAGAGAGAGACAGAGACAGAGAGAGACAGACAGAGAGGTCTTCCATCTCCTGGTTCACTCCCCAGATGGTTGCAAAGGCTGGAGCTGGGCAGATCGGAAGCCAGGAGCCAGAAGCTTCATCCAGGTCTCCCACGTGGGTACAGGGGCCCAAACACTTGGGCCATCCTCCACTGCCTTCCCAGGCCACTAGCAGGGAGCTAGATTGGAAGTGGAGCAGCCGGAACTCAAACTGGCGCCCATTTGGGATACTGGCACCACAGGCAAAGGCTTAACCTACTATACCATAGCACCGGCCCCTAATTTAAGTTTTGACAAGTGTGCATATCCGTGAAACTCACCACAATCAAGATAAAGAACAGGCTCACCAGCTGAAAGGTTTCCTTATCCTCATTTGTAACCCAACTTCTGATCTCCAGGCAGTCCCTGATCAGTTTTCATGTCAGAATAGAATATTTTGCATTACTTAGGATTTTATATAAATGGAATCATAGAATGTACTCATTTATTTATTTATTTTTGGTCTGGCATTTTTATTCAGTTTAATTATGTTACTGCCTATGTCAATAATTAATTCATTTTTATTACTAAGTGGAAATCCATTATAGACATTACACAGTTTGTTTATCCATTCACTTGATGATGGACACTTGGATTATTTTAGTTTTTGACAATTACAAATAAAGCTGTGCTATAAATATTTGTGCAGAAGTATTTGTATGGATGTGTACTCTTTTTTCCCTTCAAGTTAATTTTTTTGCAGTTGAGGCGAAGTTCATATAATTAACATGTGTTTATACTGTTTATAACTACTAACTTTCTCTGGTTTAAAACTTTTTCATCATCCCATAAACTACATCATACCCATCTCTCCCTATTCCCTCCCTGCATCTCTTGATAACCTCTAATCTGCCTTCTGTCTGTATGGATTTGCCAAACCAAAGCAGTCATATGTAAAAGAAACCTTTCAATATTGGACCTTTGTGTCTGGGTTTTTTAAAGTTTATCCAAGTTGTAGCATGTACTACTACTTTGTTTCTTTAAAGTTTAAAAAAGATTTTGGGGGAGGTGCGCAGTGCTGTGGTCAATGGGTTATTCCATACAGTGCCAGCATCCCAAGTGGGTACCAGTTCAAGTCCCAGCTCCTCCACTTCGAATCCAGCTCCCTGCTAACGTGTGTGGAAGAGCAGCAGAAGATGGCCCAACTCCTTGGGCCCCTGCACCCATGTGGAAGGACCAGTATGAAGTTCCTGGCTTCTGGGCTTTGGCCTGGCCCAGCCCTGGCTTTTTAGGCTGTTTGGGAGTGAATCAACTGAATTCACAGTGAATCTGTCTGCCTGTGCCTCTTCCTTTCTGTAAGTCTGCCTTTCAAAAAAAAAAAAATTAACCAGTAACATTCAAATTGTATTTATTTATTGAGTACTATATGATGTTTTAATAACATGTATGCATCATGCATTGTTCAAATCAGAGTAAACATAATATATCTCCTAAAACATTCATTTTTTTTCTTTATGGTAAAAATACTCAAAATCTTCTACCTTTTATACACACACACACACAGAAAATATATAGTCATTATCTTTTTTCTCCTAACTACAATTTATTATTCGTTAACCAGTATTTTCCCATCCCTTCTTCCCATTTACTTTCCCCGGCCTCTGGTAACCTCCATCGTACTTTTGAATTCCTATGAGAGCAACCCTTTCAGATTGAACATATGAGTGGATTATGCAGTACCTTTCTGTGCCAGTCTTACTTCACGTATGACTAACAGTTTCATCTGCATTTTCCAAAGGACAAGATTTCAACTTTTGTAATGACTATAATAGTACATTGTACATACACAGACATCAGTTTATTCATCCTTTAGTTGGTGGACATTTGGGTGGTTTCTGCCTTTCAGGTATTATGAATAATACTACTATAAATATTTAAGATAAAGGATCTGGGTCCTTGCTTTCAATTCTTTTCTTTTTTTAAAGATTTATTTCTTTATTTGAAAACATTACACAGAAAGAGAAGGAGAGACAGAGAGAGAGGTCTTCCATCTTCTGGATCACTCCCCCATTGGCCACAGTAGCTGTAGCTGCACTGATCTGAAGCCAGGAGCCAGGAGCTTCTTCCGGGTCTCACACGCAGTTGCAGGTGCCCAAGGACTTGGGCATCTTCTACTGCTTTCCCCAGGCCACAGCAGAGAGCTGGATTGGAAGTGGAGCAGCCGGGACTTGAACTGGCACCCATGTGAGATGCCAGCACTGCAGATGGCGGCTT